AATGTCGATATTATATCAAACTTGAAAACGGAGGTATCTAACGCAAATAAGGGTTTTAAAGAAATCGCAACTTCCGCCTATTGTAACCCATTGTGATTAATGTAACAGTAGTATATAATTATCTAAAATCACATGACTAAATACACAGGATTTTTAAAGTTAATGTTAACCTTTCTTCAATTAACACATGACTTAAAAGTTTTTTTGTAACGTCAAGATAAGAATAGAAAATATTGCATTTGGGGTATACTTAGCAACAAAATCATTACATCAGCATATTTGTACAAATTGTGGATTTTCTGACCCCCCAAAAATTTTCCGTGACAATAATATTGCTCATACCCCCTTTAAAGCACTCCACCTTCCTTTGAAGTCATACACATAAGTTGTTTCTTCTTAGCAACAAAAAAAAGCGTAAATTTACTGACCTTCAGGTGTAAATCTTGTTCGTTTAACATCTCGTGTCAGTTGGCTCTCTACCTTGTCTTCCGCTATTCACTTTTGCTGTTTACTTTACAATCTTACTGGCGTTTCATCATTGTCTTACTCTGTTGCTTGGATTAAATTAAATTGTATTATAGCAACTAGAAAATAATCACCAGGTAATTAAACAAATTAATACAAGTAACTTGTAAGGGTTGTGAGGCTTGTTGAACCGGCTGGTTGTTTCTCTCTATCCGCAGTAAATGAGTCATTTGTATCACACCCAAGGCATACTAGATGTTTGAATATGTTCCAAAACTTGAGACTTGCATCTAATTATTTGGTTCTCTTTCCATCGATAAACATATGAATCCGTAGTTCCCCTCCTCTCTATATCTTGAACATTTTGAAAAAATGACCATGGACTTGAGGGTAGGCAACAAATATCGAATAGGAAGAAAGATCGGCTCAGGTTCTTTTGGAGATATTTATCTCGGTAAGTGTTCAGCAAAGGATTGTGTGACTTTTATTTTGTATACTGACCATTCTGTCGAGATTATACATAACCAACTTGCATTGTTATTTTTTTATTCAGGAACAAACATTATTAACGGCGAAGAAGTTGCAATTAAACTAGAGTCCACAAAAGCAAAACATCCACAACTTGAATATGAGGCAAAGGTTTACAAAACATTGGCTGGTGGTGTGGGTATTCCTTTCGTCCGCTGGTACGGCACCGAATGCGATTACAATGCAATGGTAATCGATCTGCTAGGTCCGTCTTTGGAAGATTTGTTTAATTTTTGCAATCGAAAATTCACATTGAAGACAGTGCTGTTATTAGCCGATCAATTGGTATGTGCATATTTACTTTAATTACTTGTAAAAATTGATTAACTGTGAAACGGTCGTTATTATTAACTCGGAATGCACATAATTCAATCATTTATTTAATTGATAGATTTCTCGAATTGAATACATTCATTCGAAAAACTTTATTCATCGAGACATCAAGCCCGATAACTTCTTAATGGGGATTGGTAAACGGGGTAATCAAGTTAATGTCATCGACTTCGGTTTGGCCAAAAAATATCGTGACCCGAAGACGCACTTACATATTCCCTATAGAGAAAATAAGAATTTAACAGGAACAGCCAGATATGCAAGCATTAACACTCATTTAGGTGTTGGTTAGTAGTATTCTAAATTATCTTGGTTTTCATTTCAAGCTGGTGTCTTTTGCATAATAATTATCTCTATTTTGTTGCCGTTGCTATTTAGAACAATCCCGGCGTGACGATCTTGAGTCACTGGGTTATGTGATGATGTATTTCTGTCGCGGTTCACTTCCATGGCAAGGCCTTAAAGCCGCTACCAAGAAGCAAAAATATGATCGTATCATGGAAAAGAAGATGACCACACCGACAGAACTTCTTTGTCGTAGCTTTCCCAGTGAATTTGCAATCTACCTAAATTACACTCGATCTCTTCGTTTCGACGATAAACCAGATTATAGTTATTTGAGAAAGCTATTCAGAGATTTGTTTGTCCGCGAAGGTTATCAATATGATTATGTCTTTGATTGGACAATTTTCAAATATGTATGAAACTTCATTTGTTTAATTATCTTCGGGGGCGTCTTAACAAAAATTTTAATTGTTTGGTTCGATCTGTTTAGGAGAAAGATGCGAACAAGGTGCACCCACCGCTGCCACCTCCAGATGATGCTAACGGCGCTGTTGAACAAGTAGAGGAAGACCCCAAAAATCCGAAACGTGTCCCTCGACAGACTCCTTCTGGGAATCTCGTCAACGACTCTTCGTCTTCACGCCGAGCTGTGAATAAACCAGCTTACGCAGGTGCCGGTATCAGTTCTACTCGCGCTGCCGTAACATCACCTCAACAACCTATTGCAGGCGGTTCGCGGTTAACACAAGTTCCTAGACGTAAGGGCCAAGAAACTAATCCCCAGACTGTGGATAATAATCGAGTCATTCAATCGGATAGACTGTGAGTATTAAATAAGAGATACGGTTTGTAGCTAATGGCTCTGAATTCCATTTTAAAAAATTTTTATTCTGCTTTTTTAATTTTCCATATCTTAAAGGCTTCGAAGCCAAACTAAGAATAATCCGGCGGTGAACTATGCTGGTACATACCGAGGAGGAGTCAAAAGGGACGATCCGGCCAGCGGAAACCAGTGGTATTAATCAACATCTCTCAAATAAAAAAAAAAAATGTCAAAAAAAAAAAAAAAACTCTCGAAAATTACTTTTATGCTATGAACAATAACCAAGTTCTCCCTTCTCGCTTAATGAGAATAAACTTCAAGATTTTCATAAGTCGGAAAATACAAGACCGTCTCCTTTCTTCTTTTGGTATATATATATAGTCTAGTGTATATATGCTATCTTTATTTTATTTTCTTTACCTTTCCCTTATGTTATAGATACAGTATGTCTGTTCTTCGAATTGTGCCTAATAGTATATTTGAATTGCTTCATCAGACGAATGGAGGTTATTAGATCCGGGGAGGGGACACAGGACAGTAGCTGGCTGTGGTGTTAGTTTCTTTTACTGTACTCAACCTTGAGCAAAAGATAATGCCTCGAGGCAAGAAACATTTTTTCTAAAATGGAGTAGCAAAAATATGCATATAAATATATTTCTTTTTCTTTGATAATGTAGCATTTAGATAATGGACAAATTCTGGGGGTTGCAAAATTACAGCATTGATCTGTGGGAAGTTGCATTCGTTTTATGGCACATGGATTTTTTTTTTTTTTTTTTTTTTTTGGATTTTATAATTTGTTTCACGAACTTTGTTAATACGTAAGCTTTACTATAGATTTACACTTGGGTTTGAATTTATTCAGGGTGAACTTTTATCCTGTACTTATTCTTGAATATGCCAAAACCACATTTTATAGTTGTCTTGGCTTACATAAATCCCGGTAGAAATGATATATAATTTTTTTTTCCTTTTTTTTCTTTCAAATATACGGACTTGACTATATATACAATTATCACCTAAGCCTTTCTCCATTTTCTATTAAACTGTTAATCCACGGTCCCATAAATTACTTTGTGCGGTCAGATCAGAACTTTTTCTTATTTAGTATCTTATACATTTATCGATTGTCGTCTTTTGACCTCTAATTTCCTAAATCGACTATATACCATATATCACAAGAAAATATCCATTCCGGATGATCTTGTTTTTATTTAGTTAACAATCCATATTGTTGATAGACAGATTTCAATGTATTATTTAAGTATTTTTTTTATCATTATGTTGCAGGAACATTGAATAATGAAAATAGAAGTTGTAAAAAAAAACGATATTTTTTCTGTAATTTAATAAATTTATTTAAACAAATAGTTATATACAGTATGTATATTCCAATATAAAATGTACACTCAATTATTTCGTTCCTTTAAAAAATACTTATATCTTGTTTAGTAAAATTCTTTTAAAATATACAGTAAAATATATAATATAAAATATAGTATAATTTTTAATTCAAAATATACAAAAAATTTTAAGACAAATATATAGTGTGTTAAGAAAAAATTGAAAAAATTTTTATATCAAATTTTTATTATTAAATTAACAATAGATTTTATTTAAAAACAAAATAATCACAAATATATATTTTTAAGATATATATTTAAAAAAAATAGTAAATTTTATATTAATTTCTTAATTTTAATTTTTTAAAAAAAGTTATAAATTAAAAAAATTTTATATTAATATATTTCAGATTTTAAAAAATTAAAAAAAATTTTTTTGAAAATTTTAAATAACAATTTTTATAATAAAAACAAATAAAAATTTATTGATATTTAATGTATCTATTCAAATTAGAATAAATATATATCAGTTTCCTTGTTAATATTTAATGCATTTAAAATTTAACTAACTTAAAAGTACAATAGTTTAAATAATACTAAGAACTATATTCTATTATAAAAATTATTATTAGCATAAGTAATAATATTTCTTAATTAATCTTATTAAGTACTATTGATTCCAAAAAAAACTTATAAATAAATTAAACTTCTTTATATCTTCTGATATTAAATTTATAAATACTTATGGTAAGATTTTTAATATCTAATAATTTATCTATTAGAATATTGTATTTCTGTTTTTTTTAAAAGAAAGAAGAAAAAACTTTTTCTTTAATAATATTAAGATAAAAAAAGAATAATTTCAGTTACTAGTTTTATTAATTCTATTTCAATTGTTCAAGATTCAAGTTTAATTATTATTATTTTTTTAATGTGATTGTATTAACTAAAATATATAATTTTAATTATTTATTTTTTGTATTTAAGAAAATAAAGTTTCATTATATTTTAAATACAACTCTATTATATTTGAACAAAAATTTACTACTATTATTCTTTTCAACAACTTGAAATATTCTCTTATTTGAAAAGTTACTCAGAAAATTACAATAGATAAAACCTATTTAATTAGAATATATTTTAATACCTTAAACTTATAATAAGATTAATAATTTAATCCTTATATAATTCTTATTTTCATCCACCCATAGGACACTTCTGCCACACTTGAAGCATGGGTGTACCAAATTCTTTTTGTGACTTGGAGGCAAACCTGTATAAAGTGGCTGCAGCACCTTCATACAAAAAGGTACTCATCTC